GTCTGGCGAGGGCACGTGCCCTACAGCGAAAAACTCTCCAAAAAAAAAAAAAAAAAGGAATCAAGAAAAGTTTATGAAGGCAGCATAGAAAGGATGGGTAATATTTCTGACTGGCAGAGTTTGCAGTTGGGGTAGCACTTTCCACCAAGACTTAACAAAGGTTAAGTCTAAAACAAAGGTGAGAAAATGTCAGGCATTTTGAGAAGATTTCAGTTTGGTCTTGGGTTTTGCATAGAGGGATAGCAGTAATTGGATCAGACCTTAGTGTGAGCCACACTGTGGGAGGCCTCTGTAAATGACTGGAGTGAACACTCAAAGCTCTGCTTTGTCAAGTATGGCCCTGTCACCAGCATAGGGATAACTATACAGAGAGAGGTATGAAAAAGAATCCTGTCGGAAGGAGATTACAATCATTCAGATAGCAAGTGGGCATTATACGAAGACCTGAAGAAGGGAGAGTGAGTGTGACATTGAGGTTAGAAAGGAAGAATCAGATGTCAAAATAATTGCAAAGACGGGAACTATAGGACTTGATAGCTGATTGGATATTTGAGGGGAGAAAATTGTAATTAAAAGATAGAGACAAGGAAACCAGCAGTTAGTGTAATGGCTATGTCGCTGGACTCCCACGTAGTCAACCGCGGTTCGTGTCCTGGACCCGGTGGCTTAAAACTCACGCCAGGCGCGTGTGCGTGCATGCCCAAGATCCCGAGAGGAGAATGGAGGAGAAGGGATTGCGGTGTGGCCATCCCCCCTGGGGGGTGATTTCTCGCTTTCTGTCTCTATGTCTCTGTCTGGCGAGCGCACGCACCCTATAGCAAAAACCTCTCCAGAAAAGAAAAGATAGAGACAAGGGACTAGCAGTTGGCATGATGGTTACTTTGCTGGACTCCCACATATTCAACCAAGGCTTGAATTCCAGACCTGGTTGCTTAAAACTCACACTGGGTGGGAACCAGCAGTTAGCATAATGGCTATGTCGCTGGACCCCCACGTAGTCGACCGCGGTTCGCGTCCTGGACCCGGTGGCTTAAAACTCACGCTGGGCGCGTGTGCGTGCGTGCCCAAGATTCCAAGAGGAGAATGGAGGAGAAGGGATTGCGGCGTGACCATCCCCCCTGGGGGGTGATTCCTTGCTTTCTGTCTCTATGTCTCTCTCTGTCTGGCGAACGCACAAAAAAAAAAAAAAAAAAACCCTCTCCAAAAAAAAAAAAAAAACACACTGGGTGTGTGTGCATGAGTGCCCAAAGTCTGGAGAAGGGAATGGAGGAGAAGGGATTGCGGCGTGGCTATCCCCCCTGGGGCGGTGATTTCTTGCCTTCTGTCTCCCTTGCAAGCGCATACACCCTATAGCAAAAATCTCTCTCTAGAAAAAAAAAATAGTGACAGAATTTGCAACTCTTAAGTAACTAAGGGATCAGGGCTATAGAATATATGTGGAGAGTATTGTCCTTAAAAGTGAAATATATTTTTTGTTTTGTTTTTTTCTAATACTGCACCACTAGAATATATCCAGATGGATGAAGATAGGATTTAGAAGACCTGGTTTAAAACACAGGCAATGTGGCATTTGGAAAGTGCATTTGGAAAGACCTTGGCAGAATCTCAAAGACATGAGAAGTTATTTACTAGAAATGAGATACAGCAAGAGGCTGTATGATAGCTGATAGGAACAGACATGCTGTTACGACATCTTGGACAAAGAAACATAGCTTAAAGGTCACAAAGCTAGCAGACTGAATTTCAGACACTGAAGTACAACTAAGCCACTTTGCTCATAGTGCTCAAAGTGAGTAGGAACAGGAATTGATTTAATAATGGTTAATGATTCTCCAGGGAAATACTGGTTTGACCAGCTAATCACTATAATTCAGAATAAAGGGACTCGAACCACGGCCATGTGGGAGTCCAGGAATATAACCACTACACCATCTGCTGACCCCTATTTTTAATTAATTTTAAAATTCATGATAAAATACATAAACATTTTCCATTTTGGGGGCCAGCAGGTGGCAGGGAGGTTAAGGCAGCTGGATCCTACTTGTCTGACAGTACCAGACCAACCGACTTGAAAAACACTCTGGGCAGCATGTGTGTGCATGCACAAAATCCCAAGAGGAGAAGGTGTTAGAGCAAGGTCATCTGCTCAAGAGATATTTCTCACTTTTTCACTGTCTTGCTGGTGAGCGTTTGTACCCTGTAACAAAACTAGAAAAACAAACAAAAACATAAAATGATGGCTCCCAAAAGCTGGGAGATGTGGAGAGTTAATGTTTAAAGAGTAGAGAGTTTCAATTTTGTAAGATAAAGTTCTGGCAATGAGTGGTGGTGATTGTTGACAATATGATTGTACTTAATGCCACTGTACACTTAAAATGCACACTTAAGGGACTAGATAATAGTGCGGTGATAAAATGTGATGCTCTGTGAGACAGACCCACATAGGAAGGTTGATGGTTCAAATCTAGAGACCTCCCTGAGTACATCAGGCATGCACATACCCAAGATCTGGAATGGCTAAAGCTGGAGGTTGACAGTGGCTTCAGGACCCTGCTTGGTGCCTCTATCTGTCCCAATCACTGTCTCTCTCAATTGTGTAATAAATTCTTTCAAAGTTTTTTTTAATAGGCACTTAAATCTATACAACATACATTTGAAATGGTTCAAGTGATAAATGTTCTATATTTCTTCACAATTTTTAAATAAATAAAAAAGGGGAGGAGTCTTGGTCTTAGGTCACTATTAGAGTGATCACTATTTGTAAGTTATTTTATGGTTGAGTGAAAGAGAAAATGACCATATGGTCATTATGGAATGAGTCAGTCAAGGCAAGTTTAGCTAACATTAAATCCATCCATTACATCTACTTTATTTTGCCCTTTTTTTTTTTTAATTTTCAGAAAGCATGTGCACATGACGGACACGGGGGGGGTCGGGGGGAAGCACTCCCTCCCCCATCCCCAAATAGGGCATGGTCACATCACAGTCCCTTCTCCCCCACCCTGTTGGGATTTGGTTTGCACACACACATGCGCCCAGCATTTTTTTTCAAGTCACCAGTGCCGGGATTGGTACCATAGTCAGTCATGTGGGGATCTGGTTCCCTTCACCACTAGACTACCAGGGCGGCTTTACATCTATTTTAAATGTATGGGGCAGATGAAGAAACAATTGGCAGCTGTCAACTTCCATATTCCTGTGAGAAAAATGCTAAGCTGTGGGCTCAGCTATGAGGCATGAATCCATAAGCCTTAAAAAAAAAAAAAAAAGCCAAAGAGTAATGCTTTCACCAAGAAATTTGAAAGGGCCTGCAGGTGACGTGGTGATTAAAGACGCCAGATTCCCACATGGCAGACTGTGGTTCAAGTCCTAGACCTAGCAGCTTCCTTTCTCGCTTCTCTCTCTCTCTCTCTCTTTCTGGTCAAATTAAAAAATTAATAATAAATAAATAAATTTTAAGAAAATTATTACCCACTTTATTTTATTATTATTTTTTAATTTCACCTGAGAGAGACAGAAGAAAGGGAAAGTGAGAAGGCAAGCCACCAGGTCCAGGACTTAAACCATGATCAGTCATGTGGAAGTCCAGTGCCCTTAACCACCACGCCACCTGCTGGCCCTGAGAAACACCTTTTGGTTGGACCTTTTTTTATTTTATTTTTTTAATTTATGAGAATTTTTATTTAACTTTATTTATTTTTATTTGTTGTTTGTTTGTTTTTAATTTGACCAGAGAGGGACAGAGTGAGTGAGTGAGAGAGACAGAAAGACGGAAAGTGAGAAATCAAGTTGCCTGGTCTGGGACTCAAACTGTGGTTGGCCATGTGGGAGTCCAGTGCCCTTAACCACCACATCACCTGCTGGCCCCTAGAGAATTTTTATTTAACTACAGGGTTGATACTTCATGTTTATTACCACTTCATATTTATTGCAGAGACTTAAAGAACATTATTGTTTTCTTTGATGTATATGGCCACATTTTAAAACAAATATTTAAGTAGCTTGTTACTTCTTTTTTTTAAAGAGAGATTTTTGCTATAGGGTGCATGTACTTGCTGGAGAGAGAGAGAGACAGAGAGAGAAAGCAAGAAATCACCACCCAGCAGGGATGGCCATGCCACATTCCCTTCTCCATTCTCTTGGGATTTTGGGCATGCATGCACACACACCCAGTGTGAATTTAAACTGCCAGGTCCAGAACTTGAACCACGGTTAACTATGTGGGAGTCCAGTGACATAACCATTATGCCATCTGCTGGTCCCAAGTAGTCCTTATTTCTTTTTTTTTTTTTCTTTAATTATTTTATTTATATTTATCCATTTATTTATTTATTTTTATTTGACCATAGAGGGATAGAGTGAGAGAGAGAGTGAGAGAGAAAGTGAGAAAGCAAGCTGCCAGGTCTGGGACTCGAACCAAGGTCAGCCAGGTGGGAGTCCAGCACCTTTAACCACGCCACCTGCCGGCCCCAGTAGTTCTTATTTCTTGAGCTGGTGGTGGATACTTATTGTTATTTTTTAAATGTTACATATAATCCTTAGTATTTATAAAATATTTGAGACAAAATTTATTTATTTATTTATTTTTAGATTTTTGCTACAGGGTGTGTGCACTCCCTGGAGAGACAGAGAGAGATAGAAAGAAAGTGAGAAATCACCCTCTAGAGGGGATGGCCACACTACAATCCCTTCTCCTCCATTCTCCTCTCGGGATCTTGGGCATACATGCACACATACCTGGAATGAGTTTGAAACCACTGAGTATGGGACTCAAACTGTGGTCGATTATGTGGGAGTCCAGCAACATAACCTATGCCATGTGTTGGTCCCAAAGGAGAAAATTCTCCAGAGAGATGTTTAACCAAATATATAACAAAGGAGGGCCCAGCCACAATAGTACACACTGGTCGATGCTGCTAATCAGCAGGCTGAAGCCACATGGTTTAGTTCCTGGCCTACTTTAAAAGCCATGTGCCACCATACCTTAGTCCCAGCTATTCGGTAGGCTGTGGTAGGATGATCACAACATAGCAACATCCTGTGTAAAAGAAAAAGATAGAGAGGAAATGTATATTCCTATTAAAAATATGAAAAATACTAATAACCCCAAACCCTGGAACAAACTGGAACTGTCTTTTCTTCCAATGACTTACCCTAACAAAAAATATGGATATATTCAATCTACTATATAAGTATGTTTACTAAAGCAAAGTTTTTTGAAAGAATTATTTAACTGATTACCAGCAGTTAGCATAATGGCTATATCACTGAACTCCCACGTAGTCAACCGCGGTTTGAGTCCCAGACCCGGAGGCTTAAACTCACGCCGGGCACGTGTGCGTGCGTGCCCAGGATCCCGAGAGAATGGAGAAGGGATTGCGGTGTGGCCATCCCCCCTGGGGGGTGATTTCTCGCTTCCTGTCTCTATGTCTCTCTGTCTTTCTGGTGAGCGCACATGCCCTATAGCAAAAACCTCTCAAAAAAAAAAAAAAGAAGAAGAACAACTATTTAACTTTATTTATTTTAATTATTATTTTAAAATTTTTATTTATTCAGTCATTTATTTTTAATTTGACAGAGACAGAGACAGAGAGAAAGATGGGAAGTGAGAAAGCAGGGCACCAGGTCCAGGAATTGAACCATGTGGGAGTGTCCAGCACCTTAACCACCATGCCACCTGCTGGTCTCATATTTTTAAATTTTAATTGACCAGACAGGGACAGAGTGAGAGAGAGAGAGAGAGAGATGGAAGGTGAGAAAGCAAGCCACCAGGTCCAGGACTCAAACTGTGGTTGGCCATGTGGGAATCCAGTGCCCTTAACCACCATACCACCTGCCGGCCCTGCAAAGTTGTTTTTTTAAGTTTGTTTATTTTCATGAGAGAAAGTTACCCTTAACAGGGTCTGTCAGCAGTGACCCTCCCCCTAGACTCCAAGCCAGCCAGGGTCACCAGCATGTGGGGTCAGTTTTTAGTCAAGATGGTCGATCTAGAATCTGAGCCTGGGTCTCCCAAAAAGCTCCAGCATCACCCAGAAAGGCTCTAGCACCTACAGCACTATAGCTGAACCATATTGAAACAAAATTTATAATAGAAGAAAATTAGAAACAACCAACAGTAAATTTTTCAAATAGGGGTTCTAAAAACAAAACAACACATCCACACAAGGGAATACCATACCCATACGGTAATCTTAAAATAATTCAAAGAGGTCCAGCTAGGGACAAGCTGGAGGGTAGCATGGTATAATGGTGGAGACTGCATGGGAGTCTCAGGTTTGGTACTGACTTATTCTAAACAGGCTGGGCATGGTGGCATACACCTGTGGTCCTAGCTAACTGATAGTCTGGGGCAGGAGGATTACAATGTAGAAAGACTCTACTAAAAATAAAATAAAATTAAATTAAATTTAAAAACCCTCTCAACAACTTTCGGCATCCGCTCAACCTCTAAGGAGAGGTTTTAGTCTCTGATATGGCAGATTTGTTGTTTTCTGCTTTCAGACCAGAGTACTCCACCGTAAACATGCTCCACCAGATCCCAAGCCAAGCCAAGAAGTATCTGAGTTCAATTCCCCTGTTTATCGGAGCTGAAAGTACTGAAGCAGCACTGTATCTCACGCATTTGGCAATGTTCAATCCCAATGTCTCTTGGGACAGAAAGAATAACCCCAAACCCTGGAACAAACTGGGTCCCAATGATCAATACAAGTTTTACTCAGTGAATGTGGATTACAGTAAACCGAAGAAAGAAGGTGCAGACTTCTAAATGAAATGTTTCACTTATAAAGCTGCTCATAATTAAGGTCTCCCAGAAGCCATCCACACAATTTTCCACTTAACCAGGAAACATTTCTCCTCTAAATACATGAAATCATTTTGATGTGTTCAGATTTACACTGGTTAATAAATATCAGAAACTTGGTATGTGTCAGTATTTAATGCCGAAATTCTGCTCTGAACTTTATAACTAGGGTATAGGAAATAAGCCATTAGAGAATTTTTTAAAAACAAAAACAAAAAAACCTCTCTTGGAGCCAGCCTGTGGTGTAGTGGGTGCGGTGCTGGACTCCCACATGGCTGACCACGGTTGAAGTCTTGGACTTGACGGCTTGCTTTCTTGCTTTCACTCTGTCTTTCTGTCTCTGGTGAGCACATATGCCCTATAGCAAATTTTTAAAATAATAAATAAAAATAATTATTTAAAAAATAATAATTTTAACTTTATTTATTTATTTATTTATTTGACCAGAAAGGGACAGAGTGAGAGAGAGGGAAAGTGAGAAAGCAAGCAGCCAGGTCTGGGACTCAAACCACAATCGGCTATCTGGGAGTCTAGTACCCTTAAACACCACGCCACCTGTTGACCCCTAAATAATTATTTTTAAAAACTCTAAAAGAAAAATATTTAATGATATGAAATAATGTTAAAAACATGCTAATGAGAACTTTATTAAAATGCAGAGTACAATGCCATCTTACACACAGATCTATGCATGCACATATACACATATGAAATAAACCTGGATGCATATATACCAAATTTTCAATAATGTTTATCTTGAGGTTGTAAGGTTTCTTTATGTGCCAGAGGGCACATATGCTCACCTGACAGAGAGTAGGGAAGCACTCCACATGGGGTGTGGCTATGCTGCAATCCCTTTTCCACCATTTCTCTACCCTGTCAGGATTTGGAACACATATGCACACAGTGTGCCTTTTTTTTTTTTTTTTGCTGTAG